GTGGTGTGTGTGTGTGTGTGTGTCTGTGGTGTGTGTGTGTGTGTGTGTCTGTGGTGTGTGTGTGTGTCTGTGGTGTGTGTGTGTCTGTGGTGTGTGTGTGTGTGTCTGTGGTGTGTGTCTGTGTCTGTGGTGTGTGTGTGTGTCTGTGGTGTGTGTGTGTTTCTGTGGGGTGTGTGTGTCTGTGGTGTGTGTGTGTCTGTGTGTCTGTGGTGTGTGTGTGTGTTTCTGTGGGGTGTGTGTGTGTGTGTCTGTGGTGTGTGTGTGTGTTTCTGTGGGGTGTGTGTGTGTGTGTGTTAACATCAAATAGTCCCAAAGTCCCAAATTTTCCATTCCATAGCACTCCTGTGAAATGCCAATGAATGTTTCTCCTTTGCTGAAGGTGCTATAGAAACGCAAATTGTTCTTGTTGCCACAGGATGCATATTCTCTCCCTATCACTGCCTGATCTCACCAACACAATGAACAGCATCAAACACGACCGTGATGATGCCTTCACCCCTGGGCCCAATGAATCTGCTACCCTCACCCAGGAGAGCTCCGAGCTGGACAAGGTAGGACCGTGGGATCAGGTATCTAGCGGTATGTCGGAATCTGGTCCCACCAGGCTGACTCGCCTTTCCGTTAGGGATTGTTTCTCTGTGCGCCAGTTATCTCAAACCCTGCTGCCCTTCTTGGATCTTTTAAATCAAGATGCATCAGTGAGGGGCCCAAATGCACTGTGACATCCCAGTGTTTTTGACTGAAGGGCCCCTATCGAAATGGATACATGAACACACAAGGTCCCCCTAAATTATAGTGTCGCTTAATAGACATTGGATGAAAATGCTGTACGCAATGAGTATTTCAGTAATGCTTTAGAATAAGTCAGCCATGCCTCTGTTTTTAATACTCCTGCTTCTAGGGGTTAGGAGGTTCTAGATTGAAGGTAGGCCAACAGGAGGCTGGAAGAACACAGCAGGCCAGGCAGCATCTGGAGGAAAGGAGAAGTCAACATTTCGGGTATTACCCTTCTTCAGGACTGTGCTGAAGAAGAGTAATACCCAACACGTTGACTGCACCTTTCCTCTAGATGCTGCCTGGCCTGCTGTGTTCTTCCAGCCTCCTGTTGGCCTACCTTGGATTCCAAAACATCTACAGCTTTTTTTTGTCTCTAACCAGGTTCTAGATCCATGTCTCACTCCAAGTCTTGAGTCAAAGGCAAGGTTGATGCCAAAGAAGTATTTTGTTGGCTGTGAAAGCGCTTTGACGCATCGAATGATTTGCAAAAAGTCGCTTTTATAGCCAACAAACCACTTCTGAAGTGTTGTGGCTGTAGCATTGTGAGAATTGGGGAGTCAGTGGCATAGTGGCATGTGACTGGGCTAGTTGTTTACACCTGTGCTAATGCTCTGGGGACAGGGGCTTGAATCCCACCGGAGCGGATTGTAATTTCAATAAAAATGCCGCACAAAAATGGCAACCAGGTAGCCGTTGTTAATTGTCTGGAGAATTGAAGGTCGGAGGAGAGGTTGGAGATGCTGGGGTTGTTTTCCTTGGAATAGAGAAAGTTGAGGTGTGACATGATTGAGGTGTACAAAATTGTGAGGAGTAGAGAGAGAGAGAGCACGTAGACAGGAGGAACCTGTTTCCCTTGGCATAGCGTTCAAAACTCAGGGATCACAGACAAATGACAGAAGGATAGAGGGGGATACGGGGCAAAACCTTTTTACACAGAGGGTGGTGGGTGTCTGGAATTTGCTGCCTGATCTGCACCTTAAGTGCTGAAAGCTGCAGGGCTACGGGCCGCAAAATGGGATTAGAAAGGGCATCCGGTTGTCTTTGGGTCAGCATGGACAAGATGGACCAAATGGACCCCCCCTTCTCTGCCGAATCATTTCTATGGCTGTATGGTCATAAAAACCCATCTGGTTCACCCTTTTAGAGAAGGATGATAACAATGTCATTAACTCAGATATGGCCCTAACGAGCCTCTCAGGTAAAATATTACTGTACCTGGATTTCTAGAAGGTGTTCTATTGGGTACCACACCATAGGTTGCTATATAAAACAAGGGCTCATGGTGTTGGGGATGGAGAGAGAATTTGTTGGCTAATAGGAAGCAGTGGGTGGGCATAAATGGGTTACATTAATTTTTGTGCAATCCTCTTCAAAACATGATCGCAGAAGATGAGACTGAAGGGGATAAGTGCTTGAAGACCGGCCTGGGCTAGATGGGCTGAAGGGTCTCTTTCGGTGCTGAGAGTCTCTATATTCAGGTTCGTAACACGTGGTGAGTGGTGTACCATAGGGATCATTGTTGGGAGCCTCCATTTTCACAATTTTTATCAATAATGTGGTTGAAACAACCAAATGCATGGTAGCGAAGTGTACTGATGTTGCAGAAGAAAGTGAAGAGGACATAAGTAGACATGCGAAGGGATATAGATAGGTTCAGTGAGCGGGCAGTGATTTGAATGGTGCACGATAATGTGGGAAATTCACGTTAACCAACATTGATGTAATGGTCAAGAAAGCACACAACGCCTCTTCTTCCTCAGGAGGCTATGGAAATTCGGTGTGTCCATAAGGACCCTCACCAACTTTTACAGATGCACCACAGAAAGTATTCTATCTGGATGCATCACGACTTGGTCCGACAACTGCTCTGCCCAGGACCGTAAGAAACTACAGAGAGTTGTGAAAGCAGCCCAGACCATCACACAAGCCAACCTTCCATCCATCCATTTACATTTCTTGTTGCTATAGAAAGGCTGCAAACATCATCAAAGACCCATCCCTCCCTGGTTATAATCTCTTCCAACCTCTTCCGTTGGGCAGAAGATACAAAAGCATAAACACATGGACCAACAGATTCAAGAACAGCTTCTTCCCTGCTGTTATCAGACTTCCGAATGGACCTCTCAAATTTCAAATCTAATGTTGATCTCGCTCTTTGTGCACCTTCTCTGCAGCTGTAACTTTGTATTCCTCCTTTGTGTTCTATAACCTTTGTATGTTATGATCTGTCTGTACTGCACGCAAAACAAAACTTTTCCCTGGACCTAGGTATATATGACAATAATAAATTAAATCCGATCGAATCAAACTAAATGTCCACTTGGGCAAAATAAAATTTAAAAAAGCAACAATAGAAGTGAACTTAACAAACCTCTAAGGTACACTCCCTAAATCACTGCACATTGCTACTCCTAGACCTGAAATTTTTTTTGCAAAAAATAGTTTATTCACAAAAAAATCTTTATATACATACATAGTTATTGGAGCATTTCTGTACTGTCTTTACACGTGTCACAAACGTTGGAAATTTGGCATTCCCTGCAGTTGTGTTAAAAAAAACCAAGGCATTTCCTTCTTATACAGGACAATATCATAGAATCATAGAATCCCTACAGTGTGGAAACAGGCCCTTTGGCCCAACAAGTCCACACTGACCCTTGGAGCACCCCACCCAGACCCATACCCCTATAACTCACCTAATCTACACAGCCCTGAACACTACGGGAAATTTAGCACGGCCAATCCACCCTAACCTGCACATCTTTGGTCTGTGGGAGGAAACCAGAGAAAACTCCACACAGACAGTCGCTCAAGGCTGGAATCGAACCTGGGTCCCTGGTGCTGTGAGGCAGCAGTGCTAACTATTTGAGGAACAGGGAGGGTCTGATAACTGAATGGACCCCCATTTACCTTCAGCAGAAAGACCTCAGACGTGGTCTTTCCCCCATTGTGCCTTGGCAGTGGCTGCCCCAGGCTTTAGTGCGTCCCTCAGCACGTCGTTGCGGACCTTGGAATGTACCAGTACTCTTAGGTCTGAATTTTTTTTTATTTCAAAAGTACGCTTTATTCATGAAAAGTATCTTTTGTCCATACATTGTCACAAATGCAGTTCGGTTCTGTACAGTAGCGTATCAAGGAAACAAACAAACATTGGAGTTTGACTCTATCCAAACAAACGAAAGGCGCCTCTTACTTGAACCTGACTATATTTGCATGTATTTGAGGCACTGGGAGGATCTGATAACTGAATGTACACCCATATAAATTTGGCAGAAAGACCTCAGACGTGGTCTTTCCCCACTGGGCCATGGCAGTAGCTGTCCCAGGGTTTAGTGCGTTCCTCAGTCCTGGACATGGGACTCCTAGACCTGAGCAGGAGGAAATCATTGAGTCCCTCAAGCCTGCTACACCATCCACATCGGCTTTGATCATGGCGGATCTCCACCTTCGTGCCACTGACCCATCATGGTTTACCAAGATGCATTATTGCTGCCAGCATTACTATTGTGTTGATTCTGGTTGGGTTCTCGCAGAGAAATCCTACCCCAAGGCCATTCACAAGACCCACACCCCCACCCCAAGGTGCTTATTGGACCGTATGTGTTGACAGAAGGGGGGAAGAAAAAAGTTCAGATTGGGCTGCATTGAAGCCCAGAGGTAAAAGGGTAAAGTTCCGACCCCTGAACCGACTCAATCCTGAAGGTCAGAAGTCACACGATGCCTGGTTATAGTCCAGCGGTCTGTTTGAAATCACAAGCTTTTGGAGCGCTGCTCCTTCGTCAAGTGAAGTGGCTGCTATAACCTGGTGTCGTGTAACTTCTGACTTTGTCCACCTCAGTCCCAACCTCTACATCAATCCTCAAGTGCATTTGAATCTTTTTCCCAGCTGGAAGATGAGACAAGGCACAGAATACCGCGGCGCAACTGTACCAGGAAGGGCGCGCAGTGGAACGTCAGGAAGAGCTGTGCGGCAGATCCCCTCGGAAATCAGCAGAATGAAGAAGGTGAGTAAGAACAGATAAAGGGACAGCTCGGAGTGTGGTAGATGTGCGGCTGGCCATAGAGTCTAACAGGCTGTGTGGTATGGAAGGACGCCATTCCTGGTTTAGACTCCACACTGATGAAAGCATAATTCTCAGGCTCCCTCGAAGAAAGCTTTCGGAGATCCAGCCAGTGTACATCCTTCCAGCTGTAGTGGCCATCCCTTCAGCAGCCTAGATACCAAATTCTGTAATTCCATTCTTAAGCATTTCCATTTCTCCAACTCACTCACTCCCTTTAAAGACCCTCCTTAACCCAATCTCTTCGGCAAAGTCCTAATGTAGCTCTGTGTTAATTTCTGCTGTAATTGTAGAACTGTTTCAATGTTGAAAGGTGCTGTACAAATCTAAGCTGTGGTGGCCCAGTGGTTAGCACTGCTGCCTCACAGCACCAGGGACACAGGCTCAATCCCAGCCTTGGGTGCCTGTCTGTGTCGTCTCTCTGTGTGAATTTCCTCTGGTTTCCTCACACTGTCCAAAGACGGGCAGGTTAGGGTGGGTAGGCTGTGCTAAATTGCCCTGTCGTGTGCAGGTTAGGTGGGTTAGCCATGGGAAATACAGGGATGGGTAGGTCTGGCTGGGATGCTTTTCACAGGGATAATGTGTTCTCAATGGGCTGAATGGCCTGCTCCCACACTGTGTGAATTCTATGATTTACCCTGTGAGGCTTCTTCAGTAGTGGGCAGTTGGTCACCTCTTTTCCTCAGTGTTGTGACAGTTGGACCACACGTAGCGTTCCCCAGTCGAACCCTAACCCTAACCCTAGCTCCAATTTGATTTCAGACGTGAGACCGTTAAATCTTTCAACTCCCAGGTGAAAAGGGATAAACCAGGTCCCCTTGTTCATTGACCCATTCCCTTGGTCGCTTGTAAAAAGATTAATTATTAAATTAACCCTTCCCAGGTGAACCCAGTCTCAAATGAACTGATATGTTTAAAAGGGGTCAATTTCACTGGACTTCCTTAAATTAACCTAAGGCCATCGGAGTAGAAGTAGGCCATTCAGCCCATCAAGAATGCTCTGCTGTTAAAGGCGATTTTGGCTTATCTGATAATCCTCCACTCCACTTCCCTGCCTTTTCTCCGTAACTTTATTCCATTCTCTTGATTGTCAAGGGGATCAAAGGTTACGGGGAGAAGTGGGAATATGGGGGTTGAGAAACTTATCAGCCATGATTGAAAGGCGGAGCAGACTCGATGGGCTGAATGGCCTAATTTCTCCTCCTATGTCTTATGATCTTATAACCCTTGATTCCCTTCCTGATTAAAACTCTGTCTGTGTCAGCCTTGGGTGTAGTTAATGATCCCACTTCGACAGCCCTCTGCTCTAAAGAAGGTGGGGGAAGGGAGAATAGCACAGTACAGGTGAAACACAGGTTAGAAAAAATGGTGAGTCCAAAAAAGATCAGAGTAAATAAAAGAAATGTGGGTCAGTCTCTGAATCTGTCTTGAAGAGCAGGTACTGTTATGGTCTTCATTGGATGGCGCCATCGGGGTTGTTGTTGTTGGCAGTTGATACTTGGCTTTTCAGATTGTTGCAAATTCCGTTTGGTTAATGCCATTGATGATCGCTGAATTTCAGCATTGAGTGAGAGAGACACGAAGGGGCCTTCAGTTGGGGTGGCATAGTGGCTCAGTGGTTAGCCCTGCTGCCTCACAGTGCCAGGGACCTGGATTCAATTCCACCCTGGGGCGACTGCCTGTGTGGAGTTTGCACATTCTCCCAGTGTCTGTGTGGGTTTTCTCCAGGTGCTCCGGTTTCCTCCCACAGTCCATATCTGTGTGTGTTTCCTGCTCTGTTTAGACTAGGTGGATTGGCCGTGGTCAATTGCACATAGTGTCCAGGTAAAGCCACATTTTTTTGTGAACCCTTACAGTGTGGAAGCAGGCCATTCGGCCCATCGAGTCCACACCAACCCTCCAAGAGCATCCCACACAATTCCCTGCAATTCCCATGGCTAACCTACCTAGACGTCACATCCCTGGATATTACGGGCAATTTCCCCATGGCTAATCCACCCTAAACTGCACATCTGTGGACTGTGGGAGGAAACTGGAGCACCTGGAGGAAACTCACGCAGACACGGGGAGAATGTGCAAACTCCACACAGACAGTCACCCGAGGGTGGAATCGAACCCGGGTCCCTGGTGCTGTGAGGCAGTAGCGCTAACCACTGAGCCATCATGCCACCCAGCTAGACTTCCCCTCCCACTGCATCCCATGTTTTGTCACGGTCGTGCACTATGCAGTAACTCTTCTCTCACGCTGGTGTTGGCGTTCGGCCTTCCAGGTTATAGGAGGCTTGAGCGGGTCCTGGAAGATGAGGAGTCAATGCCTGACGGTTCGTTCTACATCCGGGTCAATTTGAACATCCTCGGCCATGTGGATAACTGCTCGCTGCAGGTGAAGTGCGACGAGATCTTGCACGTCCTGGACACCGGCCGACACACCAAATACGAGTGGCTTTGTGCCCGAGTTGACCCATTTACCAAGAAGGATCTGGAACATGGAACCATCCCCAGCTACAGCAGGTAGAGTGCGGGCTACTCAATAAAGACAACCATGTTGTGATAGGGAGAGGCGAGGGCAGATAAATAAAGGAAAAATATTGCAGATGCTGGAAGTCTGCAGAGAAAACGCTAGAAAAAATACACAGGTCTGGCAGCGTCTGAGGAGAGCACGAGCAGAGGTAACATTTCGAATTTGGTACGACGCTTCTTCCGAACAGTTCTGATGAAGTGTCACCGGACTCAATGTTTCTCTCCTCTCAGATGCTGCCAGATCTCCCGAGTGACTGGCCAACTTCAATCTGGCAGTGGGTTAGGTAGGTCGTTTTGATTGGATGCCCAGCCAGGCCATAGCTTGAGAATTAGGGACAGACCTTTCAGGAGAGATGTTAGGAAGCACTTCTACGCACGGAGGGTGGTAGAGGTTTAGAAATCTCTTCCACAATCAGCAGCGGATGCTGGATCGGTTGTTAGTTTGAAATCTGAGATAGATAAGATTTTGTTAAGCAGAGGTGTTAAGGGATATGGGCCAAGAGCAGGTACATGGAGTTAGGCCACAGATCAGCCATGATCTCATTGAACGGTGGAACAGGCTCAAGGGGCTAAATGGCCTACTGCAGGTCCAATGTTCCTCTAAGGACACCACTTATCTCTTGGAAGATTACTGATAAATCTCCCATGTGATAAAGGATTCTTAATGCAGAGGGAGAGGGAAAAATACAAGGCAATGGGAGGCAATGACCTCGTGGTGTTATCACTGGACTGTTAGTCCAGAGGCCCAGATAACGTTCTGGGGACCCAGGTTCAAATCGTGCCACAGCGGAATTCAATAAAAATATCTGGAATTAAGAATCTAAGGATGACCATGAATCCATTGTCAATTGTCAAGAAAAACCCATCTGGTTCACTAATGCCCTTTAGGGAAGGAAACTGCCATCCTTACCTGGTCTGGCCTACGTGTGACTCCAGACCCACAGCGATGTGGTTGACTCATAACTGCCCTCTGGGCAATTAGGGATGGGCAATAAATGCTGGCCTGGCCAGCGACGCCCTCATCCCGTGAATGAATAAAGAAGAAAAAATTCTTGATTATCATGAGACGGAGTTGCATTCAATGGTGTATCTCTTTCAGAGCTTACCAGCTCCTCCTGCTTAAAATCTACGCGCTGACAGCGAACGTTCAGGAGAAAGAGAGGGAGAAAAAGGTATGGAGTTATCAACTCTATTTATTGTACTTGGATTACACCAGCAGTTGTATTTATGTATCATATAATCCAGCTAATGGACCTTATTTGATAAGATAATGTTACCCCTCAGGGCAATAGTAATAACTAATATTGAAAGCTCAGAATCATTGGGCAAAGAAAGAGGTCTTTTGACCCAGGCAAAGGAATCCAGTCAGTCCCACTCCAATCATAGAGTCATAGAATCATACAGCACGGAAACAGACCCTTCGGTCCAACCAGTCCATGCCGACCATAATACCAAACTAAACTCGTCTCACCTGCTGGCTCCTGGCCCATATCCCTCCAAACCTTTCCTATTCATGTACTTATCCAAATGTCTTTTAAATGTTGTAATTGTACCGTCATCCACCACTTCGTCTGGAGGTTCATTGCACACACAAGCCATCCTCTGTATAAAAAAGTTGCCCGTCATGTCTTTTTCTTAAATCTCTCTCCTCTCACCTTAAAAATGTGCCTCCTAGTCTTGAAATCCCCCACCTTGGAGAAACGACAACTACCATTAACTCTATCTATCCTCCTCATTATTCTATAAACTTCTATAATGTTGCCTCTCACCCTCCTAAGCTCCAGTAAAAAATAGTCCCAGCCTATCCAACCTTTCTTTATGACTCAAACTTTCCATACCTGGCAACATCCTGGTAAATCTCTTTCGAACCCTCTCCGGTTTAATAATATCCTTCTTATAACTGGGCGACTGGAACTGGACGCAGTGTTCTGGAAGAGGCCTCACCAATGTCCTGTACAACCTCAATGTGACTTCTCGACTCCCATAACCCAGCGAATTTTAACATCATTAGCCAACTTACTTCCTGATTGTGAGTTTAGACACGCTGATGATGAGATGTGAGAATTCTCTCCTCACTATTCCACTGCTTACTTCTTTTGTGTTTTCTCAAGTTTATGAAGAACAACGTTAAAGTGAAGAAGGTGTGTTCTGATCGAGTGAGGATTGTGCCTGCCAGTCTTCCCCCGTATCTGCCCAGTGCCAGTAACCCGTCTCTCAGATCCTGGCATGAAAGTGAGTCAAGTCTAATGAACAATTTCTGAAGAAGGGTCCAGACCCGAAACGTCAGCCTGCCTGCTCCTCTGATGCTGCTTGGCCTGCTGTGTTCATCCAGCACTACACCTTGTTATCTCAGATTCTCCAGCGTCGGCAGTTCCTACTATTTCTAATGAACAATTCCTCTGTGTTTAGTTGATCTTTTGTGTCTTTAGTTGTAGCAAAATGTACAGAATCCTTGAGTTCTCAGTCAGTAAATGTTTCTTGGATTAGCCTTCCCACTGCTGAGATCCATTTTATTTCTCACTCTTTACTGAAATATGGCTCACTTGTGTATTCTGGAGTCTGGCTCCATTGTCTTTCCAAGTGGATATGTGAAATTCCTCATTGAAGTATAAGTTCAAACAGGAGATGCAAATTTCTTGGAAGTGTGGCTCAATCAATGTCTTTAGACAAAGTGATTATTTCAGTTCGGATGGTTTGTTTATTCCATGTTGGTTTCGTGAACTTGCCTCAAACTCAGTGATTACTTTGTCAGGCCCATATTTCTTCCTTTTCAAGATGCATTTCAGTCCACGGAGGTCTCGGGTATTAAAATTCGACAGCGAAAGTTTTGAAACTTGGTCATCCGCATTTGACCCCTGTCATGGGTGACTTCTCTGTGATAAGCTGCACTGGTGCAGAAAATGGGAGTCAGGGCAAATTGCCGAATTCTCCAAAACTGCTCAGCAAACAGAAATGCAGCGTGACCTTTGTAGCTGGAAGAAAACGAACCAGAGATTACTTTCTGAGTCGCTGGTCCACAGATAAACAGTGGAGTTCCTGAAGGAAAGCTGTAGGCGTGAGGGAGAGTGTTTGTCATGACCCAAACCCGGGAAGTCAGAATGCATCTCTGCTATCAGTGGGCATTGCCCATGAGCCCTCCAAATGTTTTAGGGAGGGGGAGCTTGTATTCCTTTAAAATCAGTGATGTCCGCTTGCATTCCAGATAAGGATGAAAAGATCCTGCCATACAGCCTGGTTCAGCCAATCACCGTCCACCAAAAAAGGCCGGTTATCATCATGCCTACAGTGTTGGCCAAAGCTTTGATGGACTGTCTACTCCAGGCTCCACCCGCATCAGACTTCAATATGGTGCAGCCAGGTATGTACAACCTCTTCCCGCGGAGAGACTGATGAGGCCATTTGGCCCATCTTTGACAGCACAATCCAACGATGACCCATCACCCTCCTCTTGCCCAATAACCCCGCGATCGTTTCCTTTTCAGTTGCTTACTGGATTCCCTTTTGGAAGTTATTATGAGAGCTAGGAGCGGGAGCAGGCCATTCAGCCCTTCGAGCCTGCTGTGCCATTTGGTACGATCACGGCTCATCTCTCCCGCCCGCTCTCCAAAACCCATCAACCCATTACTAATTAAAAATCTATCTCCTCCTTAAGTTTACTCAATATCCGAGCATCCACCGCACTCTGGGGGAGGGAATTCCACAGATTCACGACTCTTTAACAGAAGTAATTTCTCCTCATCTCTGTTTTAAATCTCTCTTATCTTAAAACTATGACTCCTCATTCTCGATAGTCCCACATGAAGAAACGTTCCTCTCTATATTGACTGTGTCAATCCCTTTAGTGTCTTCTATACCTCGATTAGATCTCCTCTCATCCCTCTAAACTCTACAGGGTATCTGCCTAAATTGCTCAATCTCTCACTCCTTGAATCTATCCTTCAGTGAATTGTCGATCAATAACTCATAGTACATCACACGTTGAGAGGCAATAGCTGAGTGGTATTATTGCTAGCCTGTTAATCCAGAGACCCAGATAACGTTCCGGGGACCTGGGTTTGAATCCCGCCACGGCAGATGGTGGAATTTGAACGCAATAAAAATATCTGGAGTTAAGAATCTGGGGCGGCATGGTGGCTCAGTGGGTTTGCACTGCTGCTGGTTTCAATCCCCAGCCTCGGGTGACTGTCTGAGTGGAGTTTGCACATTCTCCCCGTGTCTGCGTGGCTTTCCTCCCACAGTCCAAAGATGTGCAGGTTAGGGTGGATTGGCCGTGCTAAATTGTCCTGTCATGTCCAGGGATTTGCCAGTTGGGTGGGTTAACCATGAGAAATATGTGGTTAGGGGATGGGCCTGTGTGGACTTATTGGGCAGAATGGCCTGTCTCCACACTGTGAGAATTCTATGACTTTTATGGATTCTATAACTCACTCAGTAAGCAATAAAGTGCTAAATTTCACCTGAATCCTTGGCAATTATTTTTACTTTGTCTTCTTTGGTTACTTGCCTTGCTGTCAGTGAAATACCCCATGAACTCTCATCTCTGATTGAATCTTCTAGGAGCTGCCTCTACTCTGAGGAACATAGGAAACAGGAGGTAGACTTGACCATTCAGCCTGCTGTTCAGTACAATCTTAGGCTTCTACTCTCTTTTCCCACCCAAATGGATAGAGCAGGGACAGGAATGGTTGTTGCAGGTTCCGGGGTTTAGATGTTTCAGTAAGATCAGGGAAGGTGGTAAAAGAGGGGGAGGTGTGGCATTGTTAGTGAAGGACAGTATTACGGTGGCAGAAAGGACATTTGATGACAACTCGTCTACTGAGGTAGTACGGGCTGAGGTTAGAACCAGGAAAGGAGAGGTCACCCTGTTGGGAGTTTTTTATAGGCCTCCGAAAAGTTCCAGAGATGTAGAGGAAAAGATTGCAAAGATGATTCTGGATAGGAGCGAAAGTAACAGGGTAGTTGTTATGGGGGACTTTAACTTTCCAAATATTGACTGGAAATGCTATAGTTCGAGTACTTCAGATGGGTCAGTTTTTGTCCAATGTGTGCAGGAGGGTTTCCTGACACAGTATGTAGATAGGCCAACAAGAGGCGAGGCCACATTGGATTTGGTACTGGGTAATGAACCAGGCCAGGTGTTAGATTTGGAGGTAGGTGAGCACTTTGGTGATAGTGACCACAATTCGGTTACGTTTACTTTAGCGATGAAAAGGGATCGGTATATACCGCAGGGTAAGAGTTATAGCTGGGGGAAAGGCAATTATGAGGCGATGAGGCAAGATTTAGGATGCATAGGATGGAGAAGGAAACTGCAGGGGCTGGGCACAATTGAAATGTGGAGCTTGTTCAAGGAACAGCTACTGCGTGTCCTTGAGAAGTATGTACCTGTCAGGCAGGGAGGAAGTGGTCGAGCGAGGGAACCGTGGTTTACTAAAGAAGTTGAATCTCTTGTCAAGAGGAAGAAGGAGGCTTAAGTAGAGATGAGGCGTGAAGGCTCAGTTAGGGCGCTTGAGAGTTACAAGTTAGCCAGGAAGGACCTAAAGAGAGAGCTAAGAAAAGCCAGGAGGGGACATGAGAAGTCTTTAGCAGGTAGGATCAAGGAAAACCCTAAAGCTTTCTATAGGTATGTCAGGAATAAAAGAATGACTGGAGTAAGATTGGGGCCGGTCAAGGACAGTAGTGGGAAGTTGTGCGTGGAGTCCGAAGAGATAGGAGAGGTGCTAAATGAATATTTTTCGTCAGTATTCACACAGGAAAAAGACAATGTAGTCGAGGAGAATACTGAGATACAGTCTATTAGACTAGACGGGATTGAGGTTCATAAGGAGGAGGTGTTAGCAATTCTGGAAGGTGTGAAGATAGATAAGTCCCATGGGCCGGATGGGATTTATCCTAGGATTCTCTGGGAAGCTAGAGAGGAGATTGCAGAGCCTTTGGCTTTGATCTTTATGTCGTCATTGTCTTCAGGAATAGTGCCAGAAGACTGGAGACTAGCAAATGTTGTCCCCTTGTTCAAGAAGGGGAGTAGAGACAACCCTGGTAATTATAGACCAGTGAGCCTTACTTCGGTTGTGGGTAAAGTGTTGGAAAGGATTATAAGAGATAGGATTTATAATCATCTAGAAAGGAATAATTTGATTAGGGATAGTCAACACGGTTTTGTGAAGGGTAGATCGTGCCTCACAAACCTTATTGAGTTCTTCGAGAAGGTGACCAAACAGGTGGATGAGGGTAAAGCGGTTGATGTGGTGTATTTGGATTTCAGTAAAGCGTTTGATAAGGTTCCCCATGGTAGGCTATTGCAGAAAATACGGAGGCATGGGATTGAGGGTGATTTAGTGGTTTGGATCAGAAATTGGCTAGCTGTAAGAAGACAGAGGGTGGTGGTTGATGGGAAATGTTCATCCTGGAGTTCAGTTACTAGTGGTGTACCTCAAGGATCTGTTTTGGGGCCACTGCTGTTTGTCATTTTTATAAATGACCTGGATGAGGGCGTAGAAGGATGGGTTAGTAAATTTGCGGATGACACCAAAGTTGGTGGAGTTGTGGATAGTGCGGAAGGATGTTGCAGGTTACAGAGGGACATAGATAAGCTGCAGAGCTGGGCTGAGAGGTGGCAAATGGAGTTTAATGCGGAAAAGTGTGAGGTGATTCACTTTGGAAGGAGTAACAGGAATACAGAGTACTGGGCTAATGGTAAGATTCTTGGTAGTGTGGATGAGCAGAAAGATCTCGGTGTCCATGTGCATAGATCACTGAAAGTTGCCACCCAGGTTGATAGCGTCGTTAAGAAGGCGTACAGTATGTTAGGTTTTATTGGTAGAGGGATTGAGTTTCGGAGCCATGAGGTCATGTTGCAGCTGTACAAAACTCTGGTGCAGCCGCACTTGGAATGTTGCGTACAGTTCTGGTCACCGCATTATAGGAAGGATGTGGAAGCATTGGAAAGGGTGCAGAGGAGATTTACCAGGATGTTGCCTGGTATGGAGGGAAGGTCTTATGAGGAAAGGCTGAGGGTCTTGAGGCTGTTTTCGTTAGAGAGAAGAAGGTTAAGAGGTGACTTAATAGAGACATACAAGATGATCAGAGGATTAGATAGGGTGGACAGTGGGAGCCTTTTTCCTCGGATGGTGATGGCTAGCACGAGGGGACATAGCTTTAAATTGAGGGGTGATAGATATAGGACAGATGTCAGAGGTAGGTTCTTTACTCAGAGAGTAGTAAGGGCGTGGAATGCCCTGCCTGCAAAAATAGTAGACTCACCCACTTTAAGGGCATTTAAATGGTCATTGGATAAACATATGGATGATAATGGAATAGTTTAGGTTAGATGGGCTTCAGATTGGTTTCACAGGTCGGCGCAACATCGAGGGCCGAAGGGCCTGTACTGCGCTGTAATGTTCTATGTTCTATCCCTGCCACAAAAGCAGAAGTTGCTGGAAAAGCTCGGCAGATCTGGCAGCGTTTGTGAAGAAAAGAAATCAGAGTTTATGTTTCGTGTCTGGTCACTGGTCCAGTTTTGGTTTTTACATAGAATCCCTGCAGTGTGGAAGCAGGCCATTCAATCTGCACCATCCCTCTGAAGGGCATCCCACCCAGACTCACCCCAGCCCCATAATCCTGTGTTTCCCATGGCCACAGTGTGGATGAGCACAGCAGGTCAAGCAGCATCAGAGGAGCAGAAAAGTTAACATTTCAGATCAGGACCCTTCATCAGGGCTCCATTTCCTATGGCCAATCCACCTAACCTGCACATCTTTGGACTGTGGAAGAAACCCACGCAGACACAGGGAGAATGTACAAACTCCACACAATCGCCTGAGGGTGGAATTGAACCCAGATCTCTGGTGCTGTGAGTCAGCAGTGCTAGTCACTGTGTCACTGTATCTTCCCTAGTATCTTTTGATGCCCTGAGAGACCAAAAATCTATCTATCTGGAACCTTAAGTCTATTCAGCGATGGAACATCTAAAACCCTGATGTCTAGAGAATTCCAAAGATTCACAACCCTTTTAATGAAGATTCTTCTCCTTATCTCAGTCCTAAAAGATCGATCCCTTATCCTGAAACTGTGTCTCTTGTAGCTTTCCCAACCAGGGGAAGCAATCTCTCAGTTTGTCCCCCTCTCAAATCTCTCACTGTTACCCTTCAATCCTCTCCCTCGTACTGAACTCTCCAACCAAGCACTCAATCCTCAAACCTCCTATTGTCTTGTGTGGCTCAGTGTTTTCTTTGTTTGGGGCACACTTTGGAACATCCTATTAGGTGCAATAGAAATATAAGTTGTTGTTGTTCTGCACTCTAGCGAGGGAGACAGTCACATTCATGTGAAGCCTTGCATGGCTTTGGGATGTTCGAAAACGCTGGTCTGCCAATTGCTTTCAAAGTGTTGTCATGCAGGAAATATGAGCGCCATACTGTGCAAAGCCAGATCCCATAAACAGCAATGAGATAGCAACCAGATGATTTAATGTTAGGGATAAATGTTGGCGCAGATCACCAGAGGGAACCGTTCTCCTCTGAAATAATACCATTTACACCACTCAAGGAAGCATGGACTGCATAGTGTTGGTTAACCTCTCATCTAAAAGGCAATACCTGCCACAATGTAGCACTCCCTCTGTAATGCACTCCAGTCAGCTCAGACAATGTGCTAAAGGTTCTGGATTAGAAGTGGAACTGAAGGGAGCACAGCAGAGATTTACTGGAATGATACCTGGCTGCTAGGGATTGAACTGCAATGAGAGATTAAGTTGTGTTCCTTAGAATGTAGATTTCATCTGAATTTTCAAGATCTTAAGGGAAAAGGATGAAGTTAATGAAAGAAACTACTTTTGCTGGTTAGAAGTCCAGGAGAAGGGGATAAAATTAAAACAAAACTAAGGATGTTGTTCTGAAGAAGGGTCTAGGCCCGAAACGTCAGCCTTCCTGCTCCTCTGATGCTGCTTGGCCTGCTGTGTTCATCCAGCTCTACACCTTGTTATCTAAGGATGTTGTTAAACTGGAAAAGGATGTTGTTGGGTTTGATCTACAGGGAGAGGCTGGGTCGACTCGATCTTTCTTTCCCTGGAGTGTCGGAGGCTGAAGGATGACCTTATAGAGGTGTATAAAATTGTGAGCGGCACAGTGGCTCATTGGTTAGCACTGCTGCCTCACAGCACCAGGGACCAGGGTTCAATCCCACCCTCGGGTGACTGTCTGTATGGAGTTTGCGCATACTCCCCATGTATGTGCAGGTTTCCTCCAGGTACCCCGGTTTTCTCCCAAAAATGTGCAGATTAGGGTGGATTGGCCATGCTAAATTGCCCGTAGGGTTCAGGGGTGTGTAGATTAGGGGGATGGGTCTGGGTGGGATGCTCGGAGGGTCGCTGAAGACTTGTTGGGCCAAAGGCCCTGTTTCCACACTGTAGGGATCCTATGATGATTAATAAGGTGGATAGCCAAGGTCTTTTTCCTCAGGGTGGGGGAGTCCAGATCTAGAGAGGGGTAAAGTTTAAAAGGAACTGAGGGGCAACTTTTTCACGCAGAGGGCATTGCGTGTATGGAACGAGCTGCCAGAGGAAGTGGTAGAGGCTGGTACAATTCCAACATTTAAATGCATTTGGACAGGTGCATGAATAGGAACAGTTCAGAGGGATATGTGCTAAATGCTGGCAAATTGGACCAGATCATTTCAGGATATCTGGTGGGCATGGACGAGTTGGATCGAAGGGTCTGCTTCCGTGCTGTACAGCTCAATGACTCTGGAAGCGGACCTTTCAGGATTGAAGTTAAGAAATCTACACAGAAAGAATGCTAGAGGTTTGGAATTCTCCTCCACAAGTACCAACTGATGCTGGATCAACTGCTATCTTTAAATCTGAGATTGATGGATTTTGTGAACCAAGGTTTCTTTAAGGGGTAAAGATGGAATTGGAGTGCAAATTATCCATGATCGGTAGAACAGGCTGGAAGGGGCTGAACTGCTTCCATCTGTTGCTATACCCTAATGCAGAGGGAGAGAATTTGATCAACAGAGCCCTGACTGAAGTTGAATTTAGTTTAGTACAACCTCAAACTGGATGGATCAATGGATTCTGTTACAAAGACCCCTCCCACCCCAATTACACTCTCTTCCACCCTCTTCCATCCGGCAGAAGGTACAAAAGTTTGAAAACACGAACCATTCAAGAACAGCTTCTTCCCTGCTGTTATCAGACTTATGAATGGACGTCTCATATATTAGAGTTGATCCTTCATTGCACCTTCTTTGTCGCTGTCACACTATATTCTGCATTCTGTTCTATTACCCTGATGTTCTTATGTAAGGTATAATTAGTCTCATTAAGCATGTGAACCAACACATTTCACTGTATCTCCATTCATAGAAAGGATATAATCAAACTAGAAAGATTGCAGAAAAGATTTACAAGGATGCTACCTGGACTGGAAGGATTGAGTTATAAGGAGAGGCTCGGGCTACTTTTCCCTGGGGCACGGGAGGCTGAGGGGTGACCTTATAGAGGTTTATGAAATCAAGACAGACATAGATAAGGCCGATAGCCAACAGCTTTTCTCCATGTAGGAAAGTCTAAAACTAGGGGGCATAGGAGTGAGAGGGGAGAGATAAAAGAAGGGTCCAGAGGGTCAGTTTTTTCACACAGACAGTGGTGAGTGTCTGGAATGGTCTGCCAGATGTAAGGGTGGAAGTGAGTATAATTGTGTAATTTAAGAAACATTTAGACAGGTACATGGGTGGGATAGGCATGGAGTGATATGGACCAAATGCAGGCAAATGGGACCAGTTTATTTGTGAAAACTGGGCGGCATGGACAAGTTGGGCCGAAGGGCCTGTTTCCACGCTGTAAACCTCTACAACTCTATGTGACAATAATAAATCGAATCAAAATTGAAATATGTCTGATTTTCTTTTCCAGAAATTGTCACTGAAGAGCAGCTGAAGACAAAGACACGGTTCTCTTTGCAGAAAATCAGGAATCAGGCCAACTTTGAGTGCATTACGTTCAAAACGATCAAAGATGTTATAGCCAAGGTACAGCTTTGATTTAACCCTGGAGGGTTCACGAACCTCATGCTTGTACAGTCTGTGGTGAAATGCTCTGGTGATTCCATGATAACGTGTCTTTTAGTGATTGAGATGGAGCATTTGGAGTTCGGATTATGCACCCCAATGAAATTCACTTTGCTCTGACTGCAAAATGTAAAGGGTTTTGGGATTGTCCTGCTTATACTTGTGCTTCTATAATATGGTAAAGTACCACTCTTTCATTAGAGACAGAGAGATAGCTGGGGATACAGTTGACATGAGAGTCACCATGCCTCAGGTGAGGGAAGAGGTTGAGAAGGCATATCCTTTGTGGTGAGCTCAGTCGATGCAGAAATTGAACCAATATTGTCTACAATGAAGACCAGCTGTCCAGCCAACTGAGCTAACTGACTCGCTAGCTCTTTCCTCAGTCTCTGTTGGAGATGAGAAGGATGGAGAGGTATCCTGTAATTTTTCTCTGTGAGCATTGAGAGTCAGCGAGTTTACAGACAGAGCCTATCCTCAAAGTTTTAAAGGTTTGGGTTATGGGGAGAGGCTGGATAGTTTGGGACTTCTTTCACTGGAGCGTAGAGGTTGAGGAGTGACCTTACAGAGGTTTATAAAACTATGAGGGGTGTAGATAAAGTGAATGGCAGGTGTTTTTTTTCCTTAGGGTGGGGGGATTTCAAAACTAGGGGGCATACTTTTAAGGTGAGGGGGAAAGATTTAAAAAAGACACAGGGGCAATTTTTTTTTTTACACAGAGGTTTGTGTGTGGAATGAACTTCCAGAAGAAGTGATGGAAGCAGGAACAGTTACAACATTTAAAAGGCATTTAGATAAGTACATAAGTAAGAAACGTTTGGAGGGAAACAGGCCAAGCACAGACAGGTGGGACTAGTTTAATTTGGTGTTATGGTCAGCATGGACTGGTTGGACCGAAGGGTCTGTTTCCATGCTGTATGGATCTATGAATCCATGAAGGTGGTAAGTGGATGTCGTGTCATTTTGTCCTAGGTCTGTGGAAAGGCCTGGATTCGGTTGGCTGCCTGAACATGATTTGTGTTTTCCTTTCACTGTGCATATTTTACTTAAAAAATAAGATTTACTTCCATGTTTCACAGTGTTAGCTCCTGCATATTATCATCTTCAGTTCTCTGTCTGAAGGCAAATCTGACCCATAGCACCACAACCTCCAGCTGAGGTCGGACAAGGAGGCAGCTCCTGAATCGACCCCAGATGGAATAGGGATCAGACTCCATGCTATGACATCGATCTACCCATTGTAAAACTTCAGGGTCCAGCCATATGTGGGGAGTCGGTTAGCTCACTTGGCTGGACTGCAGGTTTGCAATCCAGACTGACACTGGTGTGTGGGTTCAATTTCTGTACCAGCTGAGGTTACCATGAAGGACTCTGTTTCTCAACCTTGCCCCTTGTCTGACCCTGATGTTAAAACATGACCAATCACCACATGGGCTGGCTCCATAGTTACCACTGCTGCCCCACAGCACTAACAACCCAGGTTCGATTCCACCCTAGGGTGACTGTCTGTGAGGAATTTGCACATTTGCCCTGTGTCTGCATGGATTTCCTCCCATAGTTCAATAGCTTTACAAAATTGCCCATATTGTCCAGGGATGTGCAGACTAGTTGGGTTAGCCATGGTAAATGTGAGGTTATGGGCTAAGGTGGGATGCTCTTTGGAGGGTCAGTGCAGACTCGATGGGCCAAATGGCCTGTATCCACACTGTTGAGATTCTATGATCTCTCTCTGTCTGTAATGACAGAGCAGTTCTGTGGTCCAGTAAGACTATGGCACCTTTACCTTGACCTGGCCACAGTCTTACTACAGTTTATGTGCCTCCAAATCAAATGGTCACTTGTTCCTGTTGCATTCTCAACCAATCTAACCTAAACAACATCTAACCACCAGCTCTTTTCTGGTTTCTTTTGGCCTTAGGCCTCCCTGTTAGACCATTGTAATTCATAATGGCCAACTATTAGCCCCACCCTAGAGAAGTCTGGGTTGCTGTACTTTTACCTGCAGTTATGGTTTGTGATGGTAGAGGTTCCAGCCCTTCAGAAGGCTGACCAGGACTCTCTCCCACTCTTACTGACACCCTACCATCAGGGAGTGTTGGAAGAATTCACAAGTTGACAATCAATTTCTTTGGCCGCGTTTCGTTCACACTATTGTCAACCCAGAGGTTCAGGGTTAGAGACAGGGACACTACCCACTGCGCCACAAGACTTCCTGTCTCCTGTATCCAAGCAATGAAACGAAAGTCATGCATTCAGTGCCTTTCATGACCTCAGGAGGTCTCAGATGATTTTACCACCAATGAAATAGTGTTCAACTTTAGCTGCTACCATAATGTAGGATGATGTAAAATGACAGCCAATTAAGTAGCTGAGATGGTTCCCACAAACAGCCTTGAACCAATCATCTTTGAAGAATAAATATTGGCCAGTCCGCCAAAACCCCATAAGATGCTAAGATGTAGGAGCAGAAGCAGGCCATTCAGCCCATCAGGTCTGCTCTGCCACTCATGGCTGATGATAATCCTCAACTCCATTTTCCTGCCTTTTGCCCATAACTCTAGAATCCTTTACTGATTAAAAACCTGTCTATCTCAGCCTCGAATACACTCAATGACCTAGCCTCAACAGTGGCAAAGAATTCTGCAGACTCACTACCATCTGAAAGAGGAAATTCCTCCTTATCTCTGTCTTAAATGTGCAAGCCCTTATTCAGAGATGATGCCATCAGGCCCTAGAGTCTCCCACAATGGGAAACAGCCTCTCCGCATCAGTCCTGTCAAGTCCCTTAAGAATGTTTCAATAAAATAGCCTCTCAGTCTCCTAAATTCCAATGGGTTGAGGCCCAATCTACTCAGCCTCTCCTCATAAGACAGTCCCTCTAAGCCTGGTATCAGCAGGGTGGACCTTCTCTGGATTGCCTCTAAAGCCAGTATATCAATCCAAAGGTAAGAGACTCAGAACTGCTCAGTGTCCCAACTATGGTCTGACGACAGCCTAGTCTCGTTTCAACAGTGATGTGGAGGTACCGGTGTTGGACTGGGGTGGACAATGTCAGAAGTCACATGATACCAGGTTATAGTCCAACAGGTTTATTTGAAATCACAAGCTTTCGGAGCGCTATAACCTGGTGTCGTATGGCATCTGACCTGGTTTTAACGTAACTTCCCTATTTTTATGCTTCATTCCTTTTGACATAAAGACCAACATTCCATTTGTCTTCCCTATGAGCCGCTGAACTTGTATGCTTTCCTTCAAAATAACATGGGATGTGATGAGGAGAAATGTCCTCACCCACGGAGTAGATGAGCCTGTGGAGTTCTCTACTGCAGAGAACAGTTGAGGCCGAAACATTGAATGTTTTCAAGAAGGAGATACATATAGTTCTTTGGGCTACAGGGATCAAAGGGATTAAAGAAAAGCAGAAACAAGGGACTGAGTTGGATGATCAGCCACGATCATATTGAATGGGGGAGCAGGCTCGAAGGGCTGAATGGCCTACCCCAACTCCTATTTTATTTAAAAAAAAAATTGCCTGGATGCTGAATTGTTCTGGAAAATCTTGATCTTTCGAGAACTTCGTTCATTCTCAGAAATCATGAAGGGTATAGATAGGGTTAATTGTAGTTGTCTTTTTCCCTAGGATGGGGGATTTCAAGACTAGGGGGCACTTATATAAGGTGAGGAGAGAGAGATTTTAGAAAAGACATGAGGGGCAGATTCTTTACACAGAGAGTGGTTCATGTGTGGAATGAACATCCTGAGGAAGTGGTGGATGTGGGCCATTAGCCAAGAGGAGTAACAGCACAGCATTAACTTGACTGGGCTAGTGGACCTGGAACGATCCTTTGGAGATGAGATCAAATTTTACCATGGTGATTGGGTGTAAATTTAAATTTAGTTAAATTAATCTTAAATTAAAAATCTGGTCACAATAAACCATAAAAACCCATCTGATTCACTAAAGCCTTTAACAGAAGGAAACTGCCGTCCTTATCTGGTTTGGTCTACATGACCCGCAGCAACATTGTTGACCCTTGGAAATAGCCTTCTCAATGTCTCAAAGTTATCAGAATTGTCCCTGGTCAGAAAAGTCCAAGAAGAAACGCTGTGGATATGATTATACCACAAGGACAGCAACATATCAAAAAAAGGGGAATTAGAGATGGGCATTAAGTGCTGGGCTTTCTACGTCCCATTGGATAAATAATGTAAAACTAGTCTATCAGTCCAGGTATTGTTTGCTCTATAGTCACCTGTGACACGGAGCGCTATAACTCTTTCAAACAGTTTGTTCCAAACCATTTCAGCTGAAGAAAACATTCAATCTTATTGAGAAACCTTGGGCCCTCCTGTGGCACAGTGGCAGTGTCCCTACCCCCGACACAGGAGGGCCAGTCTCTAGTCCCACCTGCTCCAGAAGTGTGTGCTAACATCGATGAACAGGTTGGTTAGAAAACTAGGTGAAATTAAAAATAGTTGAGAAACCTTAGTGGAGGAAAGTTTGATATAGAGGAGGGTTGGTGACTGAAGAGGAAGAGAGAAGGTAGGATAAATTTGACACAAACATATCCACAAAGGAAAAACGTTGAAAGATATATAGGAAGTATGGAGATTGGAGTGATTGATGCACATGCATGGGTGCTGAATGCTCTCAGTTTTCCGATTCTACACAGCGTTAAGGTTGAGATTTGAAGTGTATTGTTTTCTGAGTAGTGATATTCTGCTCCTTGTCCACTGGAATATCAGTGACATGTACTAACCCACCCTTTTATTCTGATTCTTTCCTTAGGACAAACATGGCTTGCTGCCAATAGGAGTGCACTCTGCTAAGGACCTAGTTGCGGAGAAGATCTACACCATCATTATTCATATCAAAGTGACCACAAAAAACATTAAGAAACTAAGGTAACATTCTAACCAAGGCGACAAGGAAGTCAGTGGAGGGGTATTGATCATTAAGGTCCACTGGGCAAATGGAAGGGAACATAGAAGGAGACAAGTATGTCTCCAGGATGACCTCAGGCCTCAAGCGGAGGTACCTGATCAGATTTCCCTTGCTGCCAAGCTCTCTATTGGCCATCATCATACTTTGACCTAAATACCATTGTTCATCCTGAGTTACATTTTGAGACCTCAACCAGTTTCTGTGTGGGTCTTGACTTTTCCTTCAAGTGTTCCTTATTGGCAGCATCCCTTTACATTACCCGACAATGGCTTCTGTAAGCTATACACAAGGCGTTTTGAAAGGAGGAGGAAGGTCCGTGTTGGTCAACGATGAGTGGAATTTGAATTCAATCATTAAGCAAAATTTGGAATGAAGAGTCTAATGATGGCCATGAAACAATTGTTAAAGAACGAAAATGCTTTTGGTTCACAAAAGCCCTTTAAGGAAGGAAATCTGCTATCCTTACACAGTCTGGCCTACATGTGTCTCCGGCAATGTGTTTGACTCTTAACTGCTGTATGGCCAATTAGGGATGGGCAATAAATGCTAACCTGGCGACTGATGTCTTCATCTGGTGAATTAATTTTTAAAAAAAATGAAAAGAAACCTTCTTAGTGACCACTTGGCTATAATTTTGAGGAGTAAAGGACTTGTGTCCAGGCACTAATCTCAGCAGATGAGGGGGCAGCATTTTGGGAAAGGGTTCTTGGAGCCTCTTTACAATTGGCTTCAATTGCAAAGGAGAGTTTTAAAATAATTGCCGTGTCTGATCTCCCACCCATCACTAGTTGATAAAGTTCAGTTCATCAGTGATGCTTGTACTGATTACAGGTAGCTCACAGTGACTTGCTTAGAGCTAGCTGAGGGGACTGGCTTTCTGGGTGAGATTCTAGAGGCTCCTGGTGGAGATGGCACCGTTGGCTCAGAAAGGGCCAGCTGCCTTGACCAGGACCCTGGGAGACTGCGGAAGGACCCTGGGAGATTGCGAGAGGACATTGGGAGATTGCGAGAGGACCCTGACAGATTGCAAGAGGACCCTGTGAGAATGTGGGAGGAGCTGGGAGGGATAAAAAGCCAGAAACAATGCCACAGCTTTGGGGGGGGAACTTCTTAATGCCCTGCTCAAGTGACTCTTCACCATGATAAAAGCAAGACGCCATTTTTATTTCAGATTCCCAGCATCTCCAAAACTTGGCAGGTCTAACAGCATCTGTGGGGAAAGAGGGGAAGAACAGAGTTCATGTTTCAAGCCCTGTTTGGAACACCAGAGTCACACTGGATGCGAAATGTTAACTCTGTTTTCTCTCCACAGACGTTGCCAGACCCCACTGAATTTCCGTAGCACTTAACTGTTTGCAATCTTTATCATTGTTTCTTAATTGTTGGCAGCAAGCGCTTGAGAACTTTCTAAAAATAACCGATAGAACTGTAGATGCTGTAAATCAGGAACAAAAACAGAAGTTGCTGGAAAAGCTCAGCAGGTCTGGCAGCATCTGTGAAGGAAACAAGTTATTGTTTCAGTTCTGAGAAAGGGTCACCGGACCCGAAATGTTAACTCTGTTTTCTTTCCTTCACAGATGCTGCCAGACCTGCTGCGCTTTTCCAGCAACTTCTGTTTTTGTTCTTGAGAATTTTCTAGTGGAGTGCATGCTTTTCTTCATCCAAAGCCCATACGCTTCAGCAGACGTGGCAAAAAACAGAAATGTTGGTTTAACTCACCAGTTCCTTTACTCTTTTAATATGAGAGGATTGAGGCCAATTATGGGCTTCTTGCTCAGCTAACCTCAACATCCAAGGTCACTCCTACTCTCACCCTGTCAGTGCCCACTTTCCCCTTATTTTCTGAAAGAGCCAAACTGAGAAACATCTAGACTCGTGCCCAGAGTGATTGAGAATGCTCAAGCCTTTGTCTTTCCTTCAGGAAACTGGCTCCAAAGTCCTGCAGCAGCGACGACGAGTTTCTGAAGCTGTACCGCATCGAACAGAAGCACTTAGAGTCAGTGCCATGCCTCTCTGCCACCGTGGAGCCCAACACGTGGACCAACGTCGAGGAGCTCATCAAAGTAGTGAAGACCAGTGTCTTCCAGGAGCAGCAGAAGATTGTCTGGATTGAGGAGAACAAGCTACTGCCAGACCTTGAGAGCTCATCACCAGCTGAACCAACGAGCCAGCCATATGTTTCGAGTTGCCTGTAGTGGGTATTTGATGGAGGCTGCCCAGCATACAATAGGCAGGAGATCCACTCTTGGTAGATCCTGAACTCTGACACGAGGTCTTAAACCCACAACAGAACGGTTAACCAACCAGTGAATACCCTTAGAACAAGCTTTGGGAGTTCAGGGTTGTGCAGTTCTAAGGATAGAACTGGGGCAGTGTAAGGGGGATTCCTGAGCTCTACCTGGCTCCTATGTTGGGAATACCTGGGACCCTCTTCAATCACACCGGTAGGGTAAACTTTGTATTATGGCTGGGGAGAGTTCAGGCAAACCACATGACCATTTTTTTTAATAAGAACAGATTATTGGATTTCAGAGAACTAACTCCAGCATCACTGAAAAAGTCAAAGTTAATTTCACGCCACAGTATTTTCTTATAACACTAATCGAGCTACACTGTTACCCAAGGAGACAAAACATATTGTGTCCATGTGAAGTGGATTTATCACTCACAACTGAATGGCCTACCGACCACCAAAATCACCATGGCTTTTTAGTTTGCCTTTTTTAAAAACACTACTACATGTGAAACGGGGTTAGAACACACAGCGACCCAGGTGCACACATGCATTTCAGTGACTAGTTTAAAGTCATGCACACAGTATTTATTTTTCTATAACATTTTGAATTTATATTTTAAGCTGTACTTCAAAAAACTAAGACTGAGGATAATTTGGAGTATACACTGCTATGTAGCAGAGGAATCTTAATGCAAGGCAGATGGAGGAGATTCAAGGCAATAATGTTATTGTTATGCTGTAATGTTTACATGGCACAGTGTCTATTGCAAGTGTGATATTTACAATGCAAACAGTTGACTCTGAGAACTGTGAATGATGACATTAGGAGGCAAAGTTTTCTAGATATTGTAAAAATATTTTGCAGGATGATCTTATTGTTGTGTCTTTGGCATTCCAGTTGATTATTGATCTGTTTTGGATGTACAGACAGCATTATTGGACTCATATCTGATTCTTATCCAGGCTGCAATTATTCTTCAATAAGATTTGATTCCAGCACCGAGTTTGATGTGACCATGGCCACTAATGGTAGTTAAATTACCACTACACCCTTTAGCTTTGAACCCCCCTGTAAACTTATATTTCTATCCTGAAGATGCCTCTTGGGGTTTCAGGCCCAAACCCTTTCCTGATTGGTCATCTGCTCAATAAGCTCAGGTATATGAGTCATTCAGCTGTGGTAGGCATCGTTGCAAAGTCTGATCCCATCCACCCCTGCAGGGATAAATAATATCGTGGACCGACAGCTCAGCAAAATCTTCAGCCTAATTCGCATCCAACTCTTAAATCCAGTGGGGCAAATGAAGCTCATTTAAACACCTTGACAATGGGATCAAATGAGAACAACATCATAGAATCCCTGCAGTGTGGAAGCAGGCCGTTCATACCCATCCAGTCCACACCAACCCTCCAAAGAGCATCACTCCCAGACCCACTCCTCACCCTATCCTTGCAAACTCACATTTCCCAAGGTTAACCCACCTAGCCTGCACACCCTTGAACGCTACAGGCAATTTAACACAATCCACCTAATCTACACATCTTCAGACTGTGGGGGGAAACCCACACAGACACAGGGAGAACATGCAAACTCCACACAGACAGTCGCCCGAGGGTGGAATCGAACCCAGGTCCTTGGCACTGTGAGGCAGCGGTGCTAACCACTGAGCCACCGTGCTGCCTATTAATGCAGCCTGTTCACATGACTTGGTATGACAGTGGGCTATGTATTCAATCTTTCCCGTATCAGAATGAGAACACTGTATGTGAACTCCAAAATAAAAAGTAGATTTCATTGTCAAGAAAACTACAACTGCTGCAGGCCCACAGATGGAATACATTCTGTGGACTTATTAATCATTCAACTCCCCCAGTTGGATGCTGTATTGTAATATAAGCTGTGAAATCAAGAGCAAAGTATCCATGTTTACATTAAATAAATACTTTTGCTAATTGAGTGATTGTGCAAAATTTATTTGCAACATTTCATTTTTTTACCTCATCCTTTATTTTGCTGCAGTTTTTATTCATTCAGAGTTATCAGGTCAGTATTTATTGCCCATCTCTAAATTGCCCTTGAGAAGGTGCTGTTTTTTATTTATTCCTGGAATGTGAGTGTCACTGGCTAGGCAGGCATTTATTGCCCATCCCTAATTGCCCAGAGGGCAGTTAGAACTCAACCATATGACTGTCTCTATAGTCACGTAAAGACCAGACCAGGTAAGGATGGCAGTTTCCTTCCCTAAAGGACATTAGTGAACCAGATGGGTTTTCCTGACAATTGGTTCATGGTCATCATTAGACCCTTAATTGTGAGCAATTTTGGGCCCCATACCTCAGGAATGATGTACTGGCCCTGGGAGGGGTCCAGAGGAGGTTCACAAGAATGATCCCAGGAATGAAAAGGACTCTGGGTGTACACGCGATGGAGTTTAGAAGGATGAGGGGGGATCTAATTGAAACTTACAGAATACTGAATGGCCTGGATAGAATGGATGTTGGGAAGATGTTTCTGTTGGTAGGAGAGTCTAGGACCCGAGGGCACAGCCTTAGAGTAAAGGGAAGACCTTTTAGAACGGAGATAAGGAGAAACTTCTTCAGCCAAAGAGTGGTGAATCTATGGAACTCACTGCCACAGAAGGCTGTGGAGGCCGGGTCATTGAGTACATTTGAGACAGGTTCTTGATTGTGAAAGGTTATGGGAAGAAAGCAGTTGAGAAACCTATCAGCCATGATTGAAAGGCAGAGCAGACTAGATGGGCCAAATGGCCTAATTTCCATTCCTATGTCTTATTTCCCAGATATTTTATTGAATTCAAATTCCACCATCTCTGAGTCCCCAGAACATTGTCTGGGTCTCTGGATTAACAGTCCAGCGACAATACCACTAGGCCATTGCCTGACCTTGGTGGTGAGCTGCCTTCTTAGACTGCTGCAGTCCATGTGCAGTAATGCTCTAAAGAGACAGGGTTCCAGGACCGTGACCCTCCAACAGTGACGGAACAATATTATAGTGCCAAGACAGGATGGTATGGGGCTTGCAGAGGAACCTGGTGGTATTCCCATGTCCTACTGGGGAGCGGGGTTCATGGGTTTAGAAGGTGGTTTCAAGTGTCCTGGCAAGTTGCTGCAGAGCATCTTGTGGGTGGTACCCAATGCTGCCGCTGTATGTTACAGTGGAGACTCTGAATGTTGAAGGTGTGAGGTGAGTCATGCCAATGAAGTAGGGGCTGCTTTGTCATTGATGGCACTGAACCATCCACACAAGAGACCTGACTTGTGTCTGCGAGATGGAGAGGCAGGGTTTTGAAATATGCGATCCATCTGCACACTCAAAGGGTTTTAACTTATATTTTCACACAGTGTCTCACTGTGCACCTAAAGTACAATGGCAACAGATAGAGCTTTTCTCTCACTAGCAGGGACTGAACTAGAGGGCATAGGTTTAAAGTGAGGGGACGAAAGATTTCAAAGGGACATAAGGGGCAACTTTTTCACACAGAGGTTGGTGCATCTATGGAACGAGCGGCCAGAGGAGGTGATGGAGACAGGTACAATTACAATATTTAAAAGGCATATGAATGGGTACATGAATAGGAAGGGTTTAGAGGGATATGGGCCAAATGCTGGCAAGTGGGGCTAGATTAATTTAGCATATCAGGTCGGCATGGACAAGTTGGACCGAAGGGTCTGTTTCCATGCTGTACAGCTCTATGACTGATTCACAGAGTTTCCTTTATCACTGGCTATTTTGGACATTCTGGAGAGTTAAGGGTTAACAAGGCCATTTCCTTGTAAGTCAGGAGAAACAGGCTTTTCTGAGATAAGGGAGCGGCGGGTGAACATTTCTGGCTATCTTGCGTTTTTAGTGCTTGAAGATTATTTTCATGAAATAGTTGCACATGGTAATAAGTAACAGAGGTGGTATTAACAATTGGTGATTAAAGTGTAGCTTTGGTGCTGGTTTGTGTGGGATCCATTAACAATTGAACAGGAGGCTGACTGGTTAATAAACGTACTCCTCCTTGGATTCGAGAACAGTGAAGCCAGGAAGTCTTGTCTGAGGGTAATTTCTTTGAAGTAAACAACCCAGACTATTTATGTAAAGAGACTGTTTATGACAGATTCAGGAACAGATACATGCTGAAGCAGGCACCTTTGATGTAGCTGAAAAATAAGGTGTACAAAGGTCTTCCACACTTGGACAACCTGAAATTTGAAAAGTTGCTCTCTCAGGGTGAAACTGGATATGAGTGAGGGTCAGGATCATTTCTGTCAGGGACCCCACCCCCTCCAACCTGGGAGATCGCTGGGTTTTGGCCAATAAAGAAGTCACCTCAGCAAAAGAAGCACAGAAAACATCAGCAGGAGTAGGCCATTCAGCCCTTCTCTGCCACTCAGTATGATCAGGGCATCCAACTCATTACCTGTTCCCATATTCTCGCCATACACTTTGTGAGTCAATGGGGCTGACCCTTCTGTGTAATGTTACCATAGGAATTTGGAGGTGGAGATGGCATCTGCTATGGGCTGACAATGTACACGATAATGAACAACACTCCAAATAATGGTCATTGACTCCTTACAGCTTGGGAGTAAGCCATTTGGCCCATCAAGTCCACACTGACCCTCTGAAGAATATCCTACCCCATTTCTGTAATCCTGCATTTCCCATGGCTAATCCACCTAGCCTGCACATCCCTGGACACTGTGGGTAATTTAGCATGGCCAATCCACCCTAGCCTGCACATCCCTGGACACTATGGGGGCAATTTAGCATGGTCAATCAACCCTAGCCTGCACATCCCTGGACACCATGGGGTAATTTAGCATGGCCAATCCACCCTAACCTGCACATCCCTGGGCACTATGGGGACAATTTAGCACGGCCAATCCACCGTAACCTGCACATCCCTGGACACTATGGGGACAATTTAGCATGGCCAATCCACCCTAATCTGCACAACTTTGGACTGTGGGAGGAAGCCCACACAGACACTGGGAGAATGTGCAAACTCCATACAGACAGTTGCCCGAGGGTGGAATCAAACCTGGGTCCCTGGCGCTGTGAGGTATCAGTACTAACCACTGAGCCACCGTGCCACCCACATCTTGTGATCTAGGCCAAGGTGATACTGAAAGGTGGCTGTGATAAGGGGAGTTTTGGATGATTGGTGGCGGTGAAGATATAATCACCTTAGCTCCTGAAATCCTTGAGGAGTTAGAATCGCGCTGCATCACATTAGTGACGATCGACGCGCCTGCTGTTTTAACAATGGGCTGTTTATTTTGAAAGGATTAATAGTTCTACGATGATGAGCTTAAAGCCAGCTTCAGTAGACAGCTAATAGGCTCCCGGAACCTGGTGTGAGCCTAAATTTCTGCAATCCCAAAATTGAGAGAAGGAATCAATTTTCTTATTCTTTATTCTTTCCTAAGAAGTAGGCATCCCTGCAAGGCTACTGCTTGTCACCCATCCTTCACTGCCCATGGCTTGCTAAATTATTTTGGAGGGTAGCTGAGTCTCAACCGTCTTTAGGGAAAGAAATCCGCCATTCTTACCTGGCCTGTGTGTGACTCCAGACCCACAGCTATGCAGTTGACTCTTAACTGCCCTCTGAAACGGCCCTGGTAAAGCCTTTCAATGGGCAGTTAGGAAAGCTGACCCAGTCAGTGATGTCCACATCCTATGAATGGATAAATAAAGTCAAAATGGGGTCAAAAGTCAGCCGAAGTAAATGTCATGATGCAGAATCAAAACCCAACGAACTATGGGCATTGTTCGAAAACTTTTCATTCAAAAATGTGTGTTCGTTTTTTTCAAAATGAAGCACTTTTACAAGCTAAAAAAAAGTCCACAGATGTAAGTTCAGTTGCTATTTGGCAAAGTCCTGTGTGGGATGCCTGGAATGTCACATCTATAGTCTGTCAAGGAAATTTCAAACTGAGACAGAGAGAGAGACATAACAGGAAGAGATAATGAGTAAGTTGACCATCTCCCCTCCTGTCAGCAGAAAGCCACCACTTTCAGACATTATTAGTGTTTTCTCTCTCTATAATCGTATAGAGAATGGGTCAGAGACTGACTGCAATTCTGGTCTGTGTGTACTAGTGGGAGGAAGTATCTTAGTGAAAGAAAGTGTGCTAGTGATCTAAAATATCTGTGTGGACTGGCCTGATTCGAGTGCTAGTGTGATGGGAATGTCAATGTTGAGGAACCGCCCACTAGTCATCCCTGCATTGCTGGTAAAAATAATCTCTCTCCCTCTGACTGCTTCCAAAGGTGGCTCAGTGGTTAGCACTGCTGCCTCACAGCGCCAAGGACCCGGGTTTAATTCCAGCCTCGAGCGACTGTCTGTGTAGAGATTGCACATTCTCCCCGTGTCTCCATTGGTGTGCGCCGGTTTCCTTACACAGTCCAAAGATGGGCAGGTTAGAGCAGATTGGCCATGCTAAATTGCTCCATGCTGTCCAGGGATGTGTAGGCCAGGTGGGTTAGCCATGGGAAATGCAGGGTTATGGTAGGGGGCGGGGTTGGTTTGGGTAGGATGCTCATTGGAGAGGTGGTGTGGACTTGATGGGCCAAATGGCCTGCTTCCACACTGAAGGGATTCTGTGACTAAAAGGAAACAGGATAAAGGCATTTCAACTAATTGCAAAGCCAAGAATTCAAAATTGACTATTCAGCTACCAATATTCCACAATCTACTCTTCATTAACTAGCCATCAAGACTGATCGGTATATCTTTTAAGTTTTATCTTCTTTTGGACTCACTCTATTCCCAATCTGTGTGTGTATGTGTATTGTGTTATTTATTTTTCTGTGTAGTAACTATTGGTGACTCAAGACAAGCCCCTGGTTAAAATTGGCTCCTTTTAAAACACCAATTCATTTGGTTTGGGAGAACGACATGAATATGGATCCTTTTTGACTTTCCTGCTCCTCTGATGCTGCCTGACCTGCTGTGTTCCTTCAGCTCCACACTGTATTGACTCCTTTTTGCCAGTTGCGATGGAGGGGATGAGTGAATGAGGAACTGGAGCTAGTTTGATCCTCCTGACACAGGAGCTTAACAATTTGCAGCATCAACCGGGAACTGGAATAACATGGTGATCTCAGCCTGAGTTCGAATTCATTCAGGGGGATGATGGCATCGCTGGCTAGGCCAGCATTTATAGCCCATCCCTAATTGCCCAAAGGTCTGTTAAGAATTAACCCCATTGCTGTGGGTCACGTAAGCCAGACCAGGTGAGGGTGGCAGTTTCCTCCTCGAAAGGGCATTCGGCAACCAGATGGGTTTTTCCTGACAAACGATTCATGGTTTATCATCAGACTCTTAATTCCAGAGTTTTATTGGATTCAAATTCCAACATCTGCTGCTGGTGGGATTCAAACCTGGATACCAAGAACATTATCTGGGTCTCTGGATTAACAGTCCAGTGATAATATCACTAAGCCATCATCATGCAGTGCTATTCTGCAAGGATAAGTGCTGGGACCCCTGCTGTTTGTAATATATATAAATGATTTGGAGGAGAATGTAGGTGGCCTCATTAGTATGCTTGCAGATGACACAATGATTGGGGGAGCTGCGGATAGTGAGGAGGATTGCCAGAGGATACAGCAGGATATAGATAGGCTGGAGACTTGGGCAGAGAAATGGCAGATGGAGTTTAATCCAGACAAATGCAAGGTTTTGCATTTTAAGAGATCCAATACGGGAGGGAAGTATACAGTAAATGGCAGAACCCTTAGTAACACCAATATACAGAGGGATCTGGGCACACACGTCCTCTATTCCCTGAAAGTGGCAACACAGGTAGGTAAGGCAGTCAAGAAGACATATAGCATGCTTGCCTTCACTGGTTGGAGCACAGGCTATAAAAATTGGAGAGTCATGTTGCAGCTATTTAAAACTTTAGTTCGGCCACATTTGGAATATTGTATACAGTTCTGGTCATCACACTACCAGAAGGATGTGGAGGCTTTGGAGAGGTGACAGAAACGATTTACCAGGATGTTGCCTGGTTTGGATGGTATTGGCTATGAGGAGAAATTGGACAAATTTGGTTTGTTTTCATTTGAATGTTGGAGGATGAAGGGGAGACATGATAGAAGTTTGCAAAATTATGAGCAGGATGGATAGAACAAACAGTCTTTTTTCCCCAGGGTAGAAATGTCAATTACTCGGGCACATAGGTTGAAGGTAAAAGGGGGTAAGTTTGAGGGAGATGTGGGGGACAGGTCTTTTACACAGAGGGTGGTAAGTGACTGGAAAGTGCTGCCAGAAGAGGTGGTAGGGGCAGATACAACAGCAATGATTAAGAGGCATCTTGAAAGAATAGGCAGGGAATAGAGGGATACAGACAGCTTAGAGTCAAAAGGTTTTTTAGTTTAGAATGGAATCATGTGTCAGCGCAGTCTTGGTGGGCTGAAGGGCCTATTCTGGTGCTGTACCATTCTTTGTTCTATCCAGCTATAAATCCTTCCTTCACATGCCATCAGTAGAGTGGGTTGAGTAGCAGAGATTCCTATAATGGGTAAAGAAAGACTCGTAAATTGTGATGGGTACTGGTTCCTCCCAGAACTGGTTGATCTCCACACTCCAATGGGATGTGACTCCCTGACCCTGGGTGATGATATATGGCTGACATTGCCTGATGTCATGGTCTCAGGATATGGGCTAGCTCATTTAGGACTGAGGCCAGGAGACATTTCTTCACCCAGGCAGTGAAATTCTCTGCCACAGAAGGTTGAATGTATTTAAGAAAGAGATAAGTTTCTAGAAACTAAAGGGTTAGAGGAGGCTGAACTGATGGCCATAAGACCATAATAAATAGGGACAAATGTAGGCCATTCAGCCCCTCTAGCCTACTGAATAGGATCATGGCTGACCCAATATTCCTCACATCCACTTTCCTGCCCATTCCCATTAACTCTTCCCTGACTGATCAAGAAACTATCTCAATGTACACTAAGGTCTCTGCTTCCCTCGCTCTCTGTGGTAGGGAGTTCCAAAGACTCATAACCCTCTGAGAGAAGAAATTCCTCCTCATTTCAGCCTTAAATTGGTGCCCCTTTATTCTGAGACTGTACCCTCTGGTCCCAGACTCTCCCATGAGGGGAAACAACCTCTCAGTATTTACCCTGCCCAGCCCCTTAACAATCCAAAGAGATCACCTCTTATTGTTCTAAACTCCTTTGAGTCCCAACCTGTTTAACCTTAGAATGGAGGGTGAGTTATGATCCTGTTGAAAGGGGACAGGGTCTGGAATGGGATGAAGTTTCTCTGCGCAACTCACAAAATATCTGAGCACTCCTGCCACAATCTCCACACACAGAGCACTGTACGATTTTCATTAGCCACGAATGAGGAGTCGGTTTTCTGTTGAGTTTTTTTCGACCCACTCCCGTTTCCTCCTTGATTCTCAGAAGATGCAGAAAGTTTTTTTTGGGGGGAGGGCGGTGGTGGGAGTTGGGAGCGAATTTGCAAAGATGAGTCGCTCTGGTGCAGTCAGTAAAACTGGAAGTTTATGGAAAGGGCTGCAGGAAATCCATTTCTGGTAATTTCTCTCCCTCGCCCTGTGTCTGTCTCTGGAAACTGGGGAGGGAAGAGTCTGGATTGACAGCTAACATCACCTCCCCCTCCATCTCTCTCTCTCTCTCGCTCTCTTCCAAATGTCATTTCTCGACCGGTGACTCGCCTGGACACACAGAGAGAAAGGCGACAGACAAAAAAAGAGAGACAAAAATCCTCTGGAGTTAAAGTGAGCCTTCCCTGAAATAGACAACGCGGCAAGAAATGGCAAACTGATCAATTTCAGTCCGTTTGAAATCCCCTCGCCCTGTGTGTGAGGGGCAGCTGGCGACTTTATTATTTCTCTCTCTCTCCTTGTTGGCAAAAAAAAACTTTTCTCAAACTTTTCTTCCTCTCTCTCTCTCTCTGTGTGTGTGTGGAGGCGTGATGGCTGGATTGGAGGAAGTCTGGGCGAATGGTTGCTTCCCCAGTTGCTTCGGATCCCAAGACGAGCTGGAGATGAGGAGGAGGAGCAAAGGGATTGACCACATGCTGGCCAAGGAGAGACCCTACCTAAGGAGGATGGTCAAAATCCTGCTCCTGGGGGCCGGGGAGAGCGGCAAAAGCACATTCCTCAAGCAGATGAGGATCATCCACGGCCAGGACTTTGACCTGAAAACCTTGGAAGAGTTCCGGGACACCATCTATGGGAACATTATCACGGGGATGCGAGTGTTGGTGGATGCCAGGGAGAAACTGGGACTGCCTTGGGCTAATGGTGATAATGAGAAACACGGGCTCTTCCTGATGATCTTCGAGAACAATTGCATTGGAGTTGGTGAAACACACTTCCAAAGAGTTTTGCCAGCTATCCAAGCTCTGTGGCAAGACCAGAGCATCCAACAGGCCTATGAGAGACGGAGTGAATTTCAGCTGGTAAGTGGCATCAATGTTGGGCACATTCTAGTCTCCAAATCCCATCCGTCTCTGCTTTCCATTGTATGGAAAATGATATTTCTGTACAGAAATGCATGGAATTTGTTCCTGTCGAATCGGGGTTGGGCCCAGCATTTATTGCCCATACCTAATTGCCCCTTGGAGGGGGTTGGTGAGCCGCCTTCTAAAACTGCAGCAGTAGGGAGCTGTTAGGGAGGAAGTTCCAGGATTTTTGACCCAGCGATAGTGAAGGGAATGGCCAATGTGGTTCCTAGTCAGTGGTTTTGAGGGGGACTTGTGGGCAATTGTGTTCCAATGCTGCCCTTGTGCTTCTAAGCAATAGAGGCTGTGTGTTTGGAAGGTGCTGTTGTAGCAGCCTTGGTGAGTTGTTGCAATGCATCTTGCAGATGGTACATTCTGCTGCCATTGTGCGTTAGTGTTGGAGACTGTGAATATTGAAGGTGGTGGATATGGTGCCAGTCAAGCGGCCTGCTTTGTCCTGGATGGGGTCAAGCTTCTTGAGTGTTGTTGGAGCTGCACTCATCCAGGCAAGTGGGGAGTATTCCATCACACTCCTGACTTGTGCCTTGTAGATGGTGAACAGGCTTTGGGGAGTCAGGAGGTTAGTTACTCACTGCAGGATTCGTAGCCTCTGACCTGCTGTTGTAGCCACTGTGTCTAATTCTGTATCTGGTCAATGATAACCCACAGGATGTTGATAGTGGGGAGGTTAAGTGATGGTGTCAAGGGGTGTGGGTGGGTTGGAGTGGGGAATAGTTAAATTCTCTCTTGTTGGAAATAGTCGCGGCCTGTGACTTTTAGAATAGTGGAGTTATAGAATCGCCACTGAGCAGAAAGAGGGCATTCAGCCCATCAAGTCTACACTGACCCTCCGAAAAGCAACCCAACCAGACCCAGCTCCCCGCTCTTCACCCCTGATCCCTGTAGTCCTGCCTTTCCCATGGCTAGCCCACCCTAACCTGGACATCCCTGGACACTACGGGGCAATTTAGCATGGCCAATCCATCCTAACCTGCACATCTTTGGACTGCGGGAGGAAGCTGCGAAAGTTGCTTTCTGTTGATCAGCTTGAAGATGTATATTGTTCAGGTCATATTGCATTTGGATATGGACTGTTCTAGTTTGTGAGGAGTTGTGAATGTTACTGAACACTGTTCAATCATGATTGAATGTTTCCAACTCTGACCTTGTGATTTGAAGGAGGTTGAATGAAGGATATTAGCCCAAGGGGCCCATGCGGTGATCTCCTAAGGCTGAGATAATGGACTTCTGACAACTTCTGGCGTGAGCTGTATCTCATTCCTGTATCCAGGGGGACATGGGTGCCTGGAAACTATTTATTTGAGGCACAGGAAGGAGAAAACAGAGTGTGAATCTTTCCTCATGTGAGTCTAAGGTATAGGGTGTACTCTTGGAACATGAATCCTGGCTAATTGCCTCCCTTAGTCCAATGCCACAAGCCGATGGGGGTCAGTCACCAATCACAGGCGCATACATTAGCCGAATGTGGCTGGATATGTTTTTATTGGCCAGAAAGCCTTTGATCCTTCGCCCAATATTTTTTATCGGATGTGTAGACGAAAGGGTTCAGAAGAAATACTTGTTTTTTTAAAAAAAATGCCCTTTCCAAACAACCCTGCGGTTTATCTGCCATGTTCTGAAGGTGAGCTCTTCGAGGCTTGAAATCCCGGGAATCCTATGTTGGTTAGGATTGGAAGGACTGTTCTGCATTAAGAATGGAACCTGCCAGGTCTGGATTACTGAGATAACAAGGTGCAGAGCTGGATGAACACAGCAGGCCAAGCAGCATCAGAGGAGCAGAAAGGCTGACGTTTCGGGCCTAGACCCTTCATCAGAAAATGATGGATTACTGGTCTGGATTACTCATGGATAACTCAGCAGCAAAGCCTTTGCAACAGTTTAATACGGCAATAAATGAATCATAACAATCACATTGCCATTCAGACATATGAATCAGGAACATATGTAGGCCATTCGGTCCCTCTAGCCTGCTCTGCCATTCAATAAGATCACGGCTGCATTCCCCAGTCTCCCTTGATAATCATTGACTGCCTTGTTACTTTGCAGTTCCCTAGGTATTGTGTATGTAGCTCTGCTGACTGTTCACACTGAGTGACAGGGCTTACAGAGAGTACTATCAAGAATAGTAAAATGTAGGGTATGCAGATTGATTTTAGTAGGATAATAGGTCGGCACAACATCCTGGGCCGAAGGGCCTGTACTGTGCTGTGCTGTTCTATGTTCTATTTTTGGCTTTCAGTTCAGGCAGCAAACATCACCAAAGACCCCTCCCACCCCGGTTATAATCTCTTGCAACCTCTTCCGTTGGGCAGAAGATACAAAAGCTTAAAAGTATGGACCAACAGATTCAAGAACAGCTTCTTCCCCGCTGTTATCAGACTGCTGTTTGGACCTCTCAAATTTTAAATTTAATGTTAATCTCGCCCTTTGTGCACCTTCTCTGCAGCTGTAACATTATATTCCTTGCTCTGTTCTATTACCCTAATACACTTTGTATGGTATGATTTGCCTGTACTGTATGGAAAACAAGAGATTTCACTGTACCTAGGTACATGTGACAATAATACATCAAGTCAAATGGAGTAAAACTGTTCAGAGATGTTATTGACATCTGGAGCAGATGGGACTTGAAGCCAGATCTTTTGGCAATGCCCCTACATTACCAAGCTCCCTGTCTTTATACCCTGACAAGTAAGGTGATGAATAAATTAACTGGTTAACATAAACAACCATCCCTTAAAGGGGCACTGACCCCAAAATCCAGTCTTAAGAGGAAAGTTGCAAAACTGAATTTTGGGTGGCATGTTAATGTGTTGTTAATTTTAGTGGACTAGTCAGCAGGAATCCCAGGATTTGGGGACCCATCGTGAGTTCCATCGTGGGAGATGGTGGAATTTGAATCCAGTAAAATATGGATTTAAAAGCTAGTCTAATGGCGACCGTGAAACTGTCGTTTGTTGTAAAAACCCACCCCATTCGCTAACGTCGCTTCGGGAAGGAAATCTGCCATCCTTACCTGGTCTGGCCTACATATGACTCCAGACCCATGGCAATGTGGTTGACTATGAACTGCCCTCTGAATGGTTTAACCAGCCATGATGCTGATCTTGCCAGCCATGTCCACATCCCCTTCAAGAATGGAAAATAAACTACCTGAGGATGCTGATCCATTCCAGTCTGTGAAGTCTCTATTTTGACATGCTCACAGTACACAATTAAAACAGCACTCTTCGCCCATGTATCTTAACAATATGATGAACGTGCTGTTGGTAAGTGGCAGCGCTGCAGCAGAGATTGGCCAGAAGGAACAAGGAAGGAGGAGCTTGACACAAGTTGTTTCAATGCCCCATGAAAACCGATAACATTTTTAGTAAAACAGGTTTGAATTCCCATTTACCAACTTAAGGGTGTATAACATGACAAGATTTCAAGTTTTAAAACTTATAAGGAGCAAACTAACATCAACACTAACTAAACATTATTTAGCAGACAGACAACTCTAAATCACAGAAAAGATTGTTCTTATTTATGTCCAGAAGATATAGGAGCAATTAGGCCATTCGGCCAATCGAGTTTGCTAGGCCATTTGATTGTGGCTGATATGTTTCTCAATCCCATTCCTCTGCCTTCTCCCTGTGACCCTTGACCCTGTTACCAATCAAGAATCTATCTATCTCTGTCTTAAATATACTCAATGACTTGGTCTTCACAGCCCTCCGTGTTAATGAGTTCCACAGATTTACCAGCCTCTGGCTGAAACAATTCCTCCTCTTCTCAGTTCTAAAGGCGCGTCCCCTTCACTCTGGGGCTGTATGCTTGGGTCCTCCATGTCCATCCTATCCAGGCCTCTCATTAACCTGTAAGTTTCAATGGGATTCCCCCTCATCCTTCTCAATGATATATCATAGAGTCATAGAATCAGGCCCTTCAGTCCAGCTAGTCCATGCTGACCAAGTTTCCCAAACTAAACTAGTCCCACTTGCCTGCATCCGGCCCACATCCCTCTAAACCTTTCCTATCCATGTACCTATCCAAATGTCTTTTCAGTATTGTAACTGTACCTATATCTACCACTTTCTCTGGCAGTTCATTCCACATATGAACCACCCTCTGTGTGAAAATGTTGTCCCTCCGGTCCCTTTTAAATCTTTCTTCTCTCACCTTGAAAATGTAAACCCTAGTTTTGAACTCCCCCACCCTAAGGAAAAAACCTTTGCTATTCACCTTGTCTATGCCCCTCATGAGTTTATAAACCTCTATAACGTCACCCCTCAACCTCCTACACTCCAATGAGAAAAGACCCAGCCTATCCAGCCTCTCCTTTTAACTCAAACCCTCCAGTCTCGGCAACATCCTGGCAAGTCTTTTCTGAACCCTCTCCAATTTCATAATATCCTTCCTATAGCAAGGCGAACAGAACTGTACACAGTACTCCAAAAATCATCAATGTCTTGTACAATGTCAACATGACATCCCAACTCCTATACTCAATGGTCTGAGCAATGAAGGTAAGCGTGCTAAACGCCTTCTGAACCACCCTGTCTACCTGTGCTGCAACTTTCAAAAAACTATGTACTTGAACCCATAGTTCTCCTCTGTTTGACAGCACTACCCAGGGCCCTAGCATTAACAGTGTAACTCCTGCCCTTGTTTGTTTAACCAAAATGCAATACCTTGCATTTATCCAAATTAAACTCCATCTGCCCCTCCTCAGCCCATTGGCCCCATTGATCAAGATCCCTTTGTAATCTAAGGTAACTTTCATCACTGCCCACTATACCACCAATTTTGTCATCCGCAAACTCACTAACCTTGCCTTCTATATTCTCATCCAAATCGTTTATGTAAATAACAAACAAAAGTGGACCGAGGACCTATCCCTGTAGAACATCGCTGGTCACAGGCCTCCAGCCTGAAAACAACCATCCACTTCCACCTTCAGTCTCCACTCATTTAGTCTTTACAGCAACCTCACCATATTATTGCAGTTTCTATAGGAAACAGTTCATAGTTGCTCCCAGCTTCCAATGGGTTCACCACTTCCTGTTTTGCTGAGTTGCAACATTGGATTACCATCACAGATCCTTTCCCTCAATCTGCTGAGAACCCCTGAATTGGCTTCCAGCAATAATGCTCAGGTGATTCCTTCTCCCGAACTTGCCGGGTGAATTTTTCAGTATTCTTAAATTATTGTTGGTTCCTTCCCTTCCACCAATGAATGAGTGTTCCACAGCATTCTTCCTGGTAGGCAACAGAGAAAACAGCCCTTTCCTTCGAAAGACCAGGATAGATACTGTTCTTTCTCTCTCTCTGTCTCTCTCCCGCTGTATCTGTCACTCTCTCTGTCTCTCTCTCTCTCTGTCATTGTCGCCTTGTCTCTGTCATGCTCTCTCTGTCTCTCTCTCTCTCGCTCTGCCTCTGTCACTCTCTCTCTGCCTCTTTCTCTCTCTACCTCTCTCGCTCTGTCTCTGTCACTCTCTCTCTATCCTTTCTCTCTCTTGTCTCTCTCAGTTCCTGTTTGAAGTCTCTTTAGACTGAAAATTTTACAAAAAAAATCTACCTTGACCTTTTGTTGTCAGCTGCTAAACCTGGCACATGCATTTCAATGACCCATTAACTGGGCCCTAGTCCCTATGGCAACCAAGGTCCACGTGATTGATGTTGGGCAGAATTGTAGCAGGTCACAAGACTCTTCATCATACCATTTTACTTGCATTTGAAGAGACAGACCAAAGCACAGTTTCCTTGTAAAACCCGACGTTTGTAACAGAGTCTCGAGAATTGAGAAGTTCAAAGCGAGCGAATAAATAAACAGAGATTGTTTTCAGTGGCAGGAAGGTCACTGCCCAGAGGAACAGATTCAAGAGGGGTTGGTAAGAGAAGCAGAAATTTTGTAGATTCCTTACAGTGTGGAAGCGAGCCATTCAGCCCCTCAAGCCTACACTGATCCTCTGAAGGACATTCCACCCAGACCCGTCTCCTACTCTATCCCTGCATTTCCCATGGCTAACCCAGCTAGCCTGCCACATCCCTGGACACTATGGGCAATTTAACACGGCTAATCCACCTCAACCTGCACATCTTTGGACTGTGGGAGGAAACTGGAGCACCCGGAGGAAACCCACGCAGACACAGGGAGAACGTGCAAACTCCACACAGACCGTCACCCGAGGGTGGAATTGAATCTGGGTCCCTGGCGCTGTGAGGCAGCAACGCTAACCACTGAGCCACCGTGCCACCCCAAATTTGCTTTTTGTTAAAACACAATTTAGTGTCAGAAAGGCTTACGGAAGCAAATCCAATGGTAACCTCCTGCAAAGACTGAATATAACAGAGGAAGATTAGAAATTGGTAGGCCACAGAGTAGGGAAAGGGGGTTTAATTGGAAAAACTCATCTTTCCAAGAGCTGTCAGATGAATGATGGGCTGAAAGTACTCTATTGCTATAGGATTCTATGATCCTGCCATTCGGGAGTTGTCAGACATATTTCAGAGGCAAGTCAGAACAGGTAGAGTTCCAGATGGACCAATACACAAATGGGCAAATAAAGGAAGAAACTTTTTGCAGAGAAAACTCTTATGGTTTATAGGGGTTGAGATCATGCTAAAAGCTCTCAGCGTTTCAGTCAATTAAATACTTTTTGCAACCAGCACTATGTGATGACAGCTTGTATTTATCTATATTTTTAATCAGCCAGTTCAGATATGTTATAACAGGCTTTTGGAGCAGGAGGGATTGGAACCCAGGCCTCCTTTCTTACAGGTAGGGATACTACCACTGCGCCACAACAGGATTAGAGACACACCCTCTAAGGTTGCCAAACCACCGTGATTATTTTGAACCTGGGACTTGCTGTGTGTCAGACAAATGTGGTAACCAATACACGGAAGAAAGACAGCAGTGAAAGCAACAGAGACTGTACAGGACTTGAAAGGCTGCACTGAGTATTGAGCTCTCAACTCTTGGTTTATTAAGAAGCAGAGGCGCCAACCACTGAGCTGTGGGACCTGAGTCAAATTTGCATAAAATTTCCTAAGATGCCTCACAGGAGTGCAGTGCAAAATGTGAGCTGAAGTGATGTTAGAATTAAATGACTAAATTCTTGGACTAACTGGTATGATTTAAAGGGAGGGATTAGAATTAGGTTTTATTGTCACGTACTCAAGTACAGAAGTATACGTGAAAAGTGTACAATGTCACCATTCCTAGGTACAGGGTACTCAGGTATAAAATCTTAGGTACAAAAATCGAAAGATAAAGAAATAAGTTTAAAAAGTTCATCGCTACAGTTCTTTTTAGTATAAAATAGAAGAGTAAAGAAATAAAGTTCAGAAGTTAAACATTACAGTCCTTTCTTAAACCATGGGCCTGCAGTCGCTTTATGCTGGGTTTTCCCACCAAGGGCTCACTCTCCCCCCGCGCTGGGCTCACTCTCCCCCTGCGCTGGGCTCACTCTCCCACTGCACTGGGCTCACTCTCCCCCCACCCAAGTA